TTTGATGATCCGATCTATGACGCGATCACGTCCCACGTCTCGATCGCGAGGAAAAAGAAGTCTGCGATCCAGGGCTGTTCAGCGAGGTGTGCGAGTGGTGGAGATCGTGTAAACTGATATATATATATATATGATATATATATATATATATACATGCACATATTTTTATATATACACATACATATACATACATATACACACGTATTGAAAAGCGCCTATCATGCTTAACATAAGTTCTAGAGATCCAGGTCCAGAGCTGGGGCAATCCCCGGTGTCAATTTTGGCCAAACCCGGTGTCAACAACGCGGCTAGAGGAATCCGTGCAACCGCGACCAGCGCCCAAGATCGTGGCGGGGCGGGGCGGGTGGGGCGTATTTATGTATGCATGCATGTATGGATGTATGTATGCATGCATGCATGCATGTATGTATATGCCGCGCTCTCTTGGGTCGAGCTCCTCTGAGCCGGACACTTCAGGTTCTTCTGATATCCTGGATAGTGCCTCTGAGTTGGGAGAGGACATGCGCGACGATGATCCACCAGCGCCGCCCCGACCTCGCTGCGTATCGGTGGAGGACTTGGCGCCCCCTGACAAGGAGGAACTTCAACCATCGGAAGCAAGCAATAGAGCATTGGCAGGGTTTCGCAACATTGTCCTACGATTCCTTTGTTGGCAGGTCAGGAGGGAGTACCTACTCACGACTCTGGGCCGACCACCAAGAGCTGTTTCGGCCTCCATTGCTGCCTGGGGACGCTTGGAGCACGAGATGCAGGCCGCGGACATCCTGGAACGCGCAGCTGCGCACATGGCAGCCGAGCACGCCGCCAGGCTTCGAGACCAGTTCCGCTGGCTGCAAAGCAGGCTGGGAAGACTCCCGGCGCTTAACGACAGAGCTTGGATCCTCCGCACAGGCAGCGAGTTCTGCCCGGGCTACCACACTCTGCGACAGCGTTTTCAACCGGAACTGGTTCCAGTGCTGCAGGAAGGATTGGACATGGCCGAAGTTATGGTCAACATGGCGGCTACAATGCGCTACCATGACTTCCTCACGGCCCTTCTGCCCTGGCTGTCCCCAGCTGCGCAACTTCAGTTTCAAGATTGGTTCCAGACCTATGAGAGGACGCAGTTCATGGCTTTACCGCAAGCCAGCGAGCCGCCACACACTGCTGACGACGAGGATGGACAGGGGGCACACCCCAGCGCTTCATCATCTTCGGCGCCCGGCAGATGATTCATGCAGCCCTACCAGGCAGGACCGTCCCGGTCCCAAATCCGGGAGCAGCACATCACTTAGCCACTTGCATACTTCAGGCAGTGCTGCAGACACGAGGGTTGGGAGTAATGTTGGTCGTGGTCTCCCTGTAGCCCGTTCGAGCCTACCTCTTGTTCTTCTGAGGAGGGCGAAGCTTAACGACCCTTTCCTTTTTAGGATTCCTTGCCAAGCAAGTGGTCCCGTCACTACTCATACCATACATGCGTACCCATGCTGCACATCATGTTGTTGTACTAGACATCACAAGCATCTTTATCCATATACCATCGTTCGAATCATCGATTTCTTCGGTTATTTCAGCTCAGCCGGCCCAGCAGTCCAGTACCGGCCAGCGAGGCCTTGGACTGCGTTGCAGCCACCACAGGATTCGGGAGCTCTGCAGGCGTTGGGTTTTCTTAGCATCATTCTGGTTGCTTTGAGAGCCGGCGAAACCAGATCGCGTGTCAGCAATCAGAAGTGGAGCACTCGTAGATGTGCCATTGGATTGTACCGCAGGCGCTGTGGCGACGCCCGTCCATGCTGGCGTGCCGCCGTTGTGAGAGCATTGCATAGGACCAGAGGTCGCCGAGTGTGCGGAATGCCTGAGGCACCAGCAGCACACCATTCGCCGGATACCCGACAAGCCCATTTCCCTGGCGCCCCTAAATGCTTAGGGTTTAGCCTGATTTTTTGGGTTGTACTCTTTTGTCTGCCGAGGTTTACCTGTGCCTCCCCTAGGAATCACCCTACGATCCCCACAGTCGCGTCTGGACAGTCACAGCTCCGTGCGTATGGCCACCAAGCACTCCGCCTCACCACAGCCAGGAAGCGTGCCTTCCGCAGGGCCCAGCTCCGAGTACTTAGGGATGGAGCCACGGTGTACCGAGGGCGTCAGCATGATGCATCTAGCCTCGCCTTGCAATATGTCGGACAAAGCCCCCCTAGGAGAGCGCCCCAACCTGCCCTACAAGCTGACTACCTTCAAGCCGTAACGTGGAACTGCGGTGGTATGCATGCACAACGATATGCTGAGTTCATGCAATGGATCAATTCCGAAGGTTTTCGATCGGTGCATTTAGTTTTTCTTCAAGAATGTCATTGGCCTGAAAGCACAGAGTACTGCAGTGAGCGTTGGACTCATATTTACTCAGGTTCGGGATCTAGACAGGGTGGGGTCATGATAATGATCAACAAATCCATTGCCACTCAGACACAAATTCGCTTTGCAGAAATCATTGCCGGGCGAGTACTGCATGTACGCGTGGGTACAGACCCACCGATCGATACGTTGTGCGTTTATCAGCATGCATGGTCGAGTGCGACGCAGACTTCCGTTACCAACCGAGCATCTGCTGCAGATCACAAAGCAGAGCTACTCGCCCGGAGAGCGCAAGTGTGGGCTGCTGTGCGTGCATGGGCCAACGCGGTCCCACAGCGCAACTCGCTCCTAGTTGCAGGAGATTTCAATGCTAGCCTCCGTAGCAGCCCGCCACATGTGGGGCCTGGAGTGCAGAGCCACAGCACACAGGGGCATCCGGACCAGCGTGAGTTTCAAAATCTAGTCGCCTCCACAGGTCTCATAGCTGTCAACACGTGGGGCCGCAGTGGCCCGAAAGCTGCCACCTTCCTCATGCCCAATGGTAATGGGGTTCAAATAGACTACATGCTCACGCGGCTCCCCTGCTCCAGTGTGAGTCGGAAGGCAGCGTCGATGCACGATGCCCAGATCATACATCCTACTGGGTTTCGTCATGTCCCAATTGCCTGTTCTATAGTGCCCCCAAGTAAACCCAAGACCCGGACGGCCTCCACCCTCACTGCCCATAAGGTCAAAGAGGTTCTCTCCCAACACCCGGAGGTAGCACTTGAGTTTAACAGTGCAGCGGCACATAGCCTACAGCAGCGACACGATCGCCCCATTGACGCTTGCCTGGCTGACGCTTGGGGTAGATGTGTACAGAAGCTTCGGAGCGCGCCGCCATCTGTTCCCTCTCGGCCGGAAATTTCTTTGAAAGCGTTTTGGTGCGCCAAACGGAAACTGCGTAACTGTCAGCCCTCAGCCCGTGCATATCATGCTCCTGTAATATGGCACATCGCCCGGTCGTCGTCTGCCACTCTAGGCATATGGATGCCCAGAACCATGCGTAACCTTCGGTCTCTTTTTGCCTTGTGGCGGGCCACGATTGCTTTCCAGAGGCAAGATCAGATGTTGCGTAAAAGGGTTAAGGAACGTAAGATAGAAAAGGTGGACCAGCTCATCGCAGTTGCCCAGGAGGCTGATCAGAGGGGACTGAGTACCTTGCACCAGCTGGCTAGACACTTGAGGCCCAAAACTCCCAAGAGATCCATCCATTTCCGCCGTCAAGATGGGCAACTCATGTCGGTGGATGAGGAAATGGACAGCTTACGAGACTTTTTCTCTGACCTGTATCAATCCAGTCAACATCAGCCAGTCCCCCGACAACTCTCAGAAGCCCTTCACATAGAGGAGTGGGAGGTTGAGTCGGCCCTCCGTAGTCTGCCCGCTGGTAAAGCCCTGCCGCCGGGACAAGTGCCAGCGCGCCTGTGGAAATTAGCCGAGAAGAGTGTGGCAACTGCACTGTTACATGATTTCAATGTTGCCCTGCAACCCGGAGAATTGCACTTCCCGCAACACTGGCATGACTCGTATCTCACTCTTCTTGCAAAACCGCAGAAGCCGCCCAAATGTCCTGCCAACCTGCGCCCAATCAACTTATTAGCTGCCGAGGCTAAAATTTTAGCGAGGATTGCTGCTAAGAGGTTACAGCCGTTGGTACAGCAGGCGTTGCATGGCTTTCCCCAGTTCGCCTATGCACAGCATCGCCAGACGGCCGACGCTCTCGATCGAGTAATGTCTCACTGTTTCCGAATCAGAGATCAGCTCAAAGGCCAACATAGGTCACCCGATCAGGAGCCCCGAATTCTGACCTAATAGGGGGGTTGCAGGTTTCCATAGACCTCACTAAAGCTTACGATCGATTGCCACGCCGAGTGCTCCGACAGGCATTGGAGAGGGTGCATGCGCCAGACTCACTGGTGGAACTCATCCTGTACATTCATGACCATGCTAAAATCTGCATACGCAGGCATGATAAACAGGAGGAGATCAGTATGGGCAGAGGGGTGAGACAGGGATGCGGTTTATCACCTCTCCTATGGATTGCCTTCACCCTCCTTCTACACGATAGCATGACAGCCCACATCCCCCTCCAATGCCAAACCAGTTACGCCGATGATTTCCACCTGATGTGGGAATTCACCAAGGCGCAGGAGTTTCGCCAGGCCTGTGCGGTTATCCCCAAGCTGCTATCCTGCCTGCATTCCTTTGGCATGGAGGTATCTCTTGATAAAACGGTGGCTCTCCTGGCCATCAAGGGGCCCGCTGCAGAAGCACTTCTTCAAAAGTTTACCAAAACGGTCAAGGGTGCCAAAGTGCTCAGGTTGTTTCAAGCAGGAGGTGAACTAACGCTGCCCTTGCGGCGGGAGCACGACTACTTGGGTGTTAAGATTAGTTACCATCAGTATGAAAGGGCTACGGTCAAACACCGAACCGCCTTGGCGTGGGTAGCGTTCAACAGACTACACCTCTTGCTAAAGCATCAATCGATCCCGCTCCGCAAGCGCGCCCTGCTATGGCAATCCTGTGTTTGGGCGGTTCAGCGCTACCGGGTAACAGCTGTAGGTTTGGATCCCTCTAGCTGCAGAAACTGAGATCCAGTGTGATGAAGCAGCTGAGGATAGTTGCGCGCAGTCCCGCTCATGTCCATCATGTAACTAACACCCAGCTACTGGAGCGACTAGGGATACAGGACCCGATCGTTTGGCTACGAACCCAGTGCAAGCACAGTGTTCAAGCCAGCAAACTAGCCCTTAGTCACCTACAGCCGACGCGAGTCCAGCAGTGGTGGGACGTAGTGCTTGCCAGTTTTTGCTCTGAATTGCCGCTGACTGTGAACAGCCATTTAACTGAGGTGACCCAGATTCTGCGGATCCGAAGTACTTGTAACCTATGTGGACAGTCCTTTCCCAGCCTACACGCACTTAAAGTGCACATAAGAAAACAACATCCTGAAGCCCAAGCCAAGCACGAGCCCAATCCCACGATTAAGAATCGGAGGCAGGATTCCTTCCGAGTGCATGCCAAAGGTGGAATGCCCCAGTGCAGGTATTGCTTGAAGCACTTCTACGGATGGCCGCAGTTTATGGGGCATTTCAGTCAAGCTTCGTGTCCCGTTCTGCATCGAGTGAGCGAGGATCATGTTGACCCAGCACGCACACCTGCAACGGGTAACGCTGTAGTCATGCACCTTGAGCACCCCTTGCCCACCACGGATGCAGAATCAGCTCCTGCTCAAGGGACGCACGCGTCGGGGAGTGCTGTGGACATGCAGCCTGCGGGGTTGGCGGATCCTGACCCAGTCCCGCTCTTCCACCGTCAGACGTTTCAGGAGCTTGCTCGACGTTTGGATGTTCGAACTCTGAGAGCCAAAATTAGGGACACCAATCTCCTATACCACTGCCCTGAATGTTTTCAGCGGGTCACCCACCCGAGTTACTTGGCCAGGCATGCTTGCAAGATGCATCCCCCCATTGCAGATGCACAAGATAGAGTCCTCAGCTGGGCTCTATCCAAGGGAAGGGTTAGCAAGCCTTGCGAGTGGTGTGGAGACAGCCGGTTCCGGAGGACTGAGGCACATCTTAAAGCGTGTCCGGTTCTGTGGATGGTAGGGCATTTCTTAGCTAGGTTTTCCACCCTTGAGGACCCGAGCCAAGCTACGCTCCATGGCTCTTTCAGAAGGTCATCAGGACGACCAGCTGCTGCAGGCGCAGGCGGAGTTTGCTCAGTTTGGGGCCTACATGAAGGCCGGCCTGCCACAACCGGGATCGACCGCAGCACCGTCCACGGCACCGAGGGACACGGACAGGAAGGATATGGATGTGGACAAGGACCGCCGCCGACAGCACCGGGAGGAGGAGGATCGTGGATCACCGCAGCCGAAGTATGCCAAGGCGGAGACGAAAGGAGCGGAGAAGCCCGGAGAACCTCCCAGTGGCAAGGGAGGCCAGATCCAGCCTCAGAAGGAGGACAACGAGGTCGGGACCAAAACGCCGGGGACGGGCTCGGGCCAACAACGGGACGACCAGGACCGACGACAGCTGCTCTCGAGGGCGGGACCGCGGGGAGGCCTCGGAGAAGGGGAGGACGGAGCGCAACCAGCGCTGGAATCCGCCGCAGGACCGCGGCTGGAACAAGCAGCATGGCTACCGAGCTTGGCCCACCCGCCGTGGGGAGCAAGAGGATCTGAAGGAAGTGGTGAAGGAAGGCCATGGGCAGGCTTTCCCTGAGGCTGGAGGATCAGCTGAGTGTGCTCAGCCTGGACGTGGAGTTTATCCTGTTTTTGCAAACGGATGCATCCGGCAACCAGTTCTCCATCACGGCCAGCCTCTTCGCAGCAGCCCAACAGTGGCACAAGCAAAAGGCAGAGGCGCCCGAAAGCCTCAGCCAGCCCATGCGAAACATCCTTCTATACTGCCTTTTCTCCGCACTCCTGGAAAGGCTGGAAAAACTGGAATCGGATGCAGAGATGATGACGAAAGTCAGACAGATGGGATTGGTGGAAGGGGAAACGTATGTGTATTTGCAATGGGATGCGAGCCAGGGCAAACACATCAAAGCACAGGTGGAGCCCCTGACGCATCGCGAAGCAGTGGAGTCACTGCGCATCTTGTTGCAACTGGCGACGTACCCGCACGTCGTCGGCCGCTTCCATGCTCTCCGCAAACTGACAGCCACGATGTCGGGGGATGTGATCCCTTTTACTCTTATGGCTCAGAATCGGACAGCCGAATCCCACCAGCTCTACAACCTGATGCACCGCC